AACAAATGTTAATAATCCGTCCGTACAATTTATATTTGAAAGTCAACAAAAGCAGCACTTAATAGCTTTTCAACACTTGTTACTTGTTAGTTGTTACTACTATTCAATCATATCTCATAAATTGACTTATTTGATTTACTTCAGTTTTCAGTTAGTTTTGCGGAGTTACATTAGTAAAATGACAAAAAGGAGATGCAACGAATTTGTCCCAAGATAACAGAAGTCCTAAAATTTGAGCCTAAACAACAAATACTAAACAAAATAATTAGATAGCAAAAGGCCAAGAAATTGAGATTTACACAATATGGGAATGAGTTAAATCTCCATCTTAAAAAAATTATATGAGGCCTAAAATAAACCATTATGGTCTGGTAACAGAAAAAACCGAACATTTCCAATGCCAAAAAGAGAATCAGTAGATCAATAGGCAAAACATTCTATCATAATGTGTATGATTAATTAAGCCCAGCAATTTTGCAGTCATTACCATGGCAATACCAGCATTCGACATACACAAAAAGATTCTCCTAACAAGTTCCCGTAACCTACGGGTAACAAAAAGGATCTGATGCTCGACATCTGATCTATACATTTCTTGGTATTTTAAACAATAAGAGAATACGGACCTAAAGTACAAGAAAATGCAGCTGGTATACTACAATTGCAAGTTGTATCCATACATTATATAGATATATAATCATAGCAGTGATTGATAATCAACCAGCAAGTTCTTACTACTACTTGTCTTCGGCCAAAACTCGATGAGAAGATATATTTATATATCATAATTGGTACCGCGAGCACCAAGCCTTGATTCGCACAATCTCCCAATAATTTGTCAATAAGTTCATCCTCGTGACTTCACATAATTTGCTCCCATTTTTCCTCTTCGCTGTAACAAAAATCGATTCAATTTATAGTACACTTCCTTCCGGCTGTTGTATTAACATTGCAGTTTGTCCAGGTTGACGAAACCTCAAAAGCCCCGTAAATGTGGAGTTTGGTTTGTATTGTCTGATAAAACGTTAGGGCCAGCACCATGTCTTGTAAATAGCACATGATTTTCCACTGTAAAGTACTAATTTACAGCTTCAAATAAGAGGACCTGGGGTTGCAAATGTCCTCTTTCACACATCGTAAGAACCTCGTTCCAGCCACCAATTACCTAGGATTGATAGAAAGATCACATATAAGCTTATGAATGACTTGTTAAATATCAATCTTTTCTTGAGGCTAAAGTCTCATAACAAAAAGTTCATCTTGTATCTCTCGAATTACAAATAACTCCATGTAGAATTTACAAACAGCCCTTCGGGATTTATATTAAACAGAATATATAAGGAGGATAACTAGGTACAGCTGGAGTTTCTGCAATTTGACTGAACCTTGGAAATAGATATTGTAATTATTAATTAACAATATTGTACACAAAATCCAAATAAGATTTACTCATACTACCTTCACAGTTTTGTCATCATACATGATCCACTGTTCATGATCGCAACTGTAGGCGAAACAGTGATAGTGTTGCCCATAATAGCAAACCTAAAATGAGAGAGAAATCTGAGAAGATCATAAATGGAAGACAATTGAAATTTCTTAAAACCAAAACAGTTCATATTAATAAGCATTTTTTTTTAATGCTACCAGAGTGTAACATGCGTCTAAATTATATACAAACAGAGCCACATAACACGAGCCCCCACTTAACCGAGATCAATCAAAGAAAAAGAGCCGACTTTTTTGTTGTATATCTTTGCAGCCAAGATATATACAAATCATCAGATTCATGCACACAAAGGTATCTGATTTTAGCTTTTCACAGTTCAAGGACGGCACCAATTTCCACTAGCTAAAAACATTCCTTTGAAAGTTTCTGCATTTGACTCTTTTAGATAACAGGGGCATAGTAAAGAAACACAGTGTAAGCAACAAAAATCTTTCATGTTGAAAGAAATCTAGAGAAGCATACCACTGAAACCAGTCGATGCCTGTTCTGTGGATCAAGACCACGATAAAGGACACTGATATCAATCTCAGTGGACAAAGCTGCCAATGTTGCCATTATATCATCAACATTCTCGCAAGTATTTTGCCAACCCAGGACTACATGAATCCGGGAAAGATATTCATTAGCCAAGTGTTCAGTACAAGACAAGGATAACAAATTAAAAAAAAAAAAAAAAAAAAAAAAAAAAAAAAAAAAAAAAAAAAAAAAAAAGAACGTGAATAAAGAAATAATGAGAGATGAAGACAAAGTCTGAAGTCATATAACAAATCACCTGTTGTGAAAACATGTGGTGGCGAGGAGAGAATATGGTGGATGTAGTTGAGCTTCCCACAACCGCCAACCTCAGGATCACAAGCTAATTGATGATTCATCTCAACCAGATTCAAAATCTCGTCAAAGGAGCTTTCTGGGCACATAACCTAAAATGCAAAATAAGTAACTCATTAGAGGAAGTCTGAGGAACTTCAAGGATGATAATTGGTCACGAACACATTCATTCTTCTAGAAACTGGTCTCTTGCAAACACAATACCATAATCATTGGTAATATAAAGGAATACACACAAAATTGCCCCGGGATGTGGCCTAATTACAAAAACTCCAGTTATCTTCTAAAATGGGAAATGCCACACCCTCTTGACATCTGTATCTACCTATTCTGGTTGATTCAATTTATAAACGTTGTCAAGAGGTATTTGTAATTCTGAAAGATGACTGGTTTTGATGTAATTAGGCTAAAGCTCTAGACAGTTTTTGCCCTAATTTACGACAAGAAAGCATGCCTTCATTGTTCTGACAGCGCTGGCGTTAATATTATGAAAGAAAGATGTGTATTTCAGGTATCTGGACTCCAAGCCACAGTTGTAACAGTTCATTCTCTCAAATATATCCATTCCAAAAATTGAGTGTGCAATGCAAGAAGCATTTCTGCAGTCCCAGGATCCAGTGCAGCTACTATCTACTGATCTTGTATCAGTCACTACAGATGCAGGGGTAAATGATCGATGAAGACAACTGAATATTACTCCCAGCACTTCAGAAGCATCATTCATCTGACCCTGCAGGGTAGCACAAATTTTTGTACAGAGTAAATTCTTTGAGATCGTATTAGAGATGAATAACTACTCAAAAAGAAAAAAGAAAAAGAAAAATAAAAATGACAGTAGTAGTGAGCTTTACCTCCTGGAAGAAATTACTATCAGGGTACAAATTGCTTAAAGCAACTCTAAGAGAGGTTGGGGCAACAGGTTCTCTTCTATTATCTTTTGATATCATACCCAGAGCGATGAAGATGTCATACAAAGCACAAATAACACAAGGATCGCCAACATGAACATGTTCCGACGATGACCTTTGCAAAAATTCATCTCGGAACCGTCTTAGGTGCCACAAGGACTGAATTCAAAGGAGGAAAAAGTAAAAAGAACGGGTGTTCTCAGGCTAAATGAATATTGTACATTGAAATTGAAAATTTGTGGGTGATCAGAATATTCAGCAAGACAATTATTAATATTGTACTTGGTACTTCTCATGCTAACCTGTATTATGACATTAAGAAAGCAATTATATTCACCAACTTCATTTTTTAGCCCTGCTCCGTAATCATCAATACCATTATCTGGCACACCTTCATCACGTGAAACACAAGGGTCACTGGTTTCTGGAAGCTCCTTTTGTGAAACTGCTGAATTTGATACTACAGGCAATTTTCCACGTGAATGAAATGTATCTGGCCAAAACAATATTCGAGATATAAGTTAAAAATGCGAAGTACAGCAGACAAGTTTTTCCACTCAGTTCCACGCTAACAATACAAATTTTTGTTGCTGAAGAGCACATAAAAACTAAAATTAGGATCAGAATATATCAAAGGAAAAATCCCTTCCATTGGCCTAACCTTCAGCATCCAAACATTACAACAATTCAAAGATCAAGCAACTATGCCAGAACTATATAATACAACAAAACTGAGCCACTAAGGTATGCATAAACTGAAGATGAGATAGAATTAGCCTTTTTTCTTAAAAGGATACTCATCTGAGGGCCCCCACAGAAAATACTACCACCCCATATCCTTTAGCAAGTTAGCCTATATCTGCCAATAGTTTGTACTCATATCATAAACCCACCACATTCAGTAGTTTGTAAATACAATCAATTCAACAGAACGGAGACAAACCGAGAAAGAATAAGGTGTATAAGAATTCACAGGGACATTAAAAGTTCTAATGCAGAGACTCTATAAGGTGCATCCATTCGTAACTTCATGCACTAATGCAAGTAAGATAACTGCAGAGGAGGATAAGAATTCCATTGAAAATAACTCAACAGTAAATTAAGAAGCAGCCAAGAGTACATTCAATTGTAGCAAACCATAAACTTCTTTTCCTCACATCAGTTCCCTTGAATTGATGCAAGGGTAATCAAGTCGAGAATCGAGAATAGGTTCACCAAATAATCACAAACAACAAAAGAGAAGGAAAAAAAAAACGAAACACACCAAGACTTTGCAGTACAGCTTTTTGTAGATCAGCTTGAAACCTTTCTTCATCGTCCTCCTCAGCCTGGAGTTGTCTAAATGTTTTTCCTCCATTATCTGCAAGACAAGAGTATCAAACTAAATAACTGCCCCAATTTTAACAAGCTACAAAAAAGCATAAAGTTAAAGCCAATGAAGAGGCCCAATACAAAGTGAGTAATGGCAGAACTGAACCCTGTTTAAATGGTAGATGTGTACGCTAATGCACACTCAACTGGGGCGTATATTATGTTTAACCCTACAGCAGCCAGAGAAGGTTGCACAGAACTAAACGATTTGGTGTCAACAAGAATAGACTTCAACGCTTAACAAGTTACAATCGATTTTTAAATCTCGACACCAAGCCACCAACCATTAGCATTTTTTATTTTTCCGATCTAATGGTGGATTTATTCCATGAGTCATTCATAATTTTTCAGCACCAACCATAACCACAATATTGACCTTGAAAATATTTCCTTTTCCACGCCTGGCTTTCCAAACTTTTCTTCCAAATTTTCTTCTTCTGAGAGAAAAGATCTGAGTTGGTTTTCTTTTAGAATTTTTGTTTTTTCAAATTTAAAAGTAGTAATTTACTTGGTATAGAGTATAGACCAAGGTTTCATTTTATATGCACTATAAAGACAATCAAAACTACAACAGGAGGACCCACTCTTAGTTTTGGATCCTTCACCCTCTAATGCAAATATCAGATAGAACAGTTGAACACACACACACACACACATATGTGCATTTTATTTTATGTAAATTAACCATTATATTCAAATAAAACCAAGTTATGGGCTGAATAGAAGTCTTTGATTAATGGTAAGTTATCCAAAAACAGTTCCTTGAAATCACAAACTATCAAGAACTAATTACATCACGTTAATCAAAATTACCAACAAATTACTACATCACTAAAATCATAAGTGAAGAAACAAATTAACATCCACTCAAACTACCGCGGACCCTTATTGCAGTCCAAGGGACCAAGACCGAAAGAATATGAATGCATTTCTGACGATGAAACAGATTACTGACCCAAACCGCACAAGGATACAAAGGAGAACATAGAACCAAAAAACATCAGGCCATTATATGCCAAGCACATGGCGCAGAACAAATATAAAAAAAATAGAAACCTCAAACAATGTATCGTTGCAATTTAGAGTCCTTCAGAATATGATGTTCCCAATAAACTTCCTAAGTGGCTTGTCAAACCCATCACTTTGTTCAAGAGCTCCTCCATTACTGCTAGTCAGTTCTAATGAAGCAGAAAGCCAACTTATGCTAATCATCTATCTTCTTGTTATCATACTTAGCCATTCAAACGACATTGAAGATTTTCAGTTTTTTTTCCTGTGTGTGTATCCACAGTGAGGGAAAAATAAGCGCCCACCATATGGCTTAGACAGTTTTGCCTCTTAAAAAGTAATCTAATCCCTGCCTCCTAGTGATAAGTCCTTTCGTGGTCCAATCCACAGGGTAACAGAACTATCTAAGAACAATGTCTAACCAGAATGGCTAAGAATCGAAAAATCAAAAGCCAATTATCGAAGGGACAATCAGTACAACTTTCACAATAGAATGTATGTTAGATCTGTTAATTATAAGGTAACAACTTCCCTCCAATAGTTAAATTTTCACAAAATTACCAACCTCCACAGCTGTCACGTACTCCCAGATAAAATGGCCGACAAGCATTTTAGACTTTTAGTCAAAGCCCAATAATGACTAAATGTTACAAACCGGAACTAATAAAGAATAGTAAAATCTGGACATAATCCGACTTAACAACCAATAGATGAGCTCACATTATGCAATAAATGCAATCAGATTACAGAACTCAAGTATAATAAGATATCTCATGCAACAGATCTGTGACATCCCAAAATCGTATAATTATAACAATTAATATAAATATCTGAAGACAATAACAAAAAAATAACTTGGTTGACCAAATATCCAAAAACGTACCAACACCATCATGCGAAATTTGCCCAGACCTCAACTGACCAGCATCGCTATCTTCCTTTTCAGATGTCGCAGTAGGAACTTTCCCATCATTTAATTTGCTTGTTAGACCCTTATGCCGTCTACCCCTCCTTCCCATGCGCCGATCCGAAAATACAGCCCCTTCTTGTGGAATACCTCCATTTGGTAAGCCTGTAAAAGGAATTATATAATTTATATTCAACTATTTTTACTTGTATTTGATTCGTTATTGAATTCAATCTCTGATTCGTATTCAATTGGACTAAGTTGTTTCTTCATATATTTATATAACTGAAAAACTAGAAAAGGAAATTTCTGTGATATCAAGAAAGGTGGATACCACTTCGCGTCATAGCCCCATTTGCAGATCTATCCAGTGGACCTTCTGAAACATCAATAAACACGTCCTTCTGGACCAAAGATTCCTAAAGATAGTAATACTTTTAAAAATTTAGACAAATAATATCAACTCTATTCCTGAAAGCCTGAAACTTAACAGATTACTTTCGAAGTTCGAAAGCGAGCTGTTCTTTCAATGTAACAGTAAATATATCACAACAGTGTGATTAGACAAAAAGGATTATGGAAAGTTATACCTTCGGGTTTGCTGATTGGTCATTCACATACTTGTCATCAGTGTATGGCTGCAAATGTTTATCAGACACCACAATCGGTTCTGTATTTACTTCAGCAGCTCTTGAACTTTTCTTATGTTGTTCAGCAAGATGCTTCTGTTTTGCCTCATTTTCTATTCGTCTTTGATATTCCAAAGTTTCTTCAAGCTTCCTTTCCTCAGCTTCAAGTTCAATTTTACGCTTGTACTCCTCTTCCTGTAGCCGTACAGCATCATCAAGCCCATGATGAGCAAATTCTGGAACCAAATCCTCCTCATCATAACCACTAGGAAACAATCTGGAGCAAGATACATAATAAGAAGCAACAAGTTCAAAGTGACGTATAGAGGGAAAAAAAATGAATCAGAAGGATGAACATGAACATGTGTTATGAGGGAACAAGGTTTATACATCTCTTCAGAAGTTTGATTGGGTGGCTCCTCAGACTGAGTAGCCTGCAGATACAACACAACCATTCATTCAATCAATCAATCAATCAACAAGCCGTTAAATCCCACTAAGTGGGGTCGGCTATATGGATCACATGTCGCCATCGTGCTCGATCAAAGCACATATCCTCATTCAGATTTAAATATTTTAAATCATTTTTATTGAGAATAATTAAACTAATGTCCAGCATTCTATATTGAATATAAAAATTACTGAGACTGATTACAAGGTTAAACCTTTGCGTCCTTGTTTTTCCGGCTCTCCCTGTTTTTCTTCTTATCCTTTGTCTTCTCGTGAGAATGTTTTGAATTATCAACTCCGGTACTGATGCCTTTCTTGGAATCCCGAGCAAGCTCTGCCAAAAATGCCTCCCTGGCAGCATCAGATTTTTCTCTGGCATCTTTCTCTGCTAGATCTTCCACGCGTGCCTATAAAAAGATTAAATATCAAGTCCCAACCATATCTGCAAAATGCAATAGGAAAGTTGAGGACCTTTAGTAAGAAGGTGTTTCACCTTCATGAAATACTCACCCGCAAAAATGATTTCACAAGAGGGATTAGGATGGTTCTAAAATCAAGGGAAGATGCAGGCTCAAGATCCGCTTCTAACTGCTTCATAGCCCCAAGTATTCGCATGATTCTTGCATCCATTTTGCTTATCTGAATCATCACTAAAAACATAAGATGAAGATGCAAGACACAAAAAGTAATATTAGAATATTAAACATTAGAATTATATCGCCAAACCTCACTAGAAACTTGCTCTTTCTGCCTCTGTATTGCAACTTCTATGCAAGAGTCCACCTGATGCATATGGTCTTTCACTCTCCAATCATCATCCTCACCAGATTCAAGGTCACAAAGATGAGAGGTAACACCATTGTATGTTTCCTCAAAGCCAAATTGATTAGCATTTAGCGATTCTGCATCCTTCAAAACATTTGTAATGGCATCCAACTCAAATCTATTGCTGATAATGGTAATCTCATTGTCATTTTCGATGAGCTCTTCGCGTCTTTTCTTGAGAACAGAATCATAACTGCGACGGACCAAAATTGTTGCAAGTTCTCGTCTCTTTCCCTCTTCCAGACAGAGATCCTCCACAGCCTGCAATGCCTCCTCATAACTCATGTGCTCACATTTTCTCTCACATAAGCCCTGCAGATGGTAAGACTCCTTCTCAAGTAACTGGAGAATCTCTAAGCCCTGCTGAGCTTTCTCCTCTTTCTTCCTCATCCAGGATGTTAATTGCTCACCACTCGAGAGGCCCTTAAATATCCAAGACAATAATGCATCCGAATCAAGTATAACACCATTCTCATAGAGCAAATCAGATGAAGTTGCCGCACTGTACGAAGTAATGGTGTCGTCAAAAGATAAAGGGGCCTTGCAGGGGAGAAAATGCTCATCGAGGACCAAACATGAATCGTCTTGACTAAAAACTATCTTCTCCAAGAAGTCAATACCTTGTGCCCTGGTATTTGAATCAGCTCCAGAATTACTTTTGTCATGATATCTACTTAATCCACAAGCATGATATATTTCCTGTAAAAAGTTCAGGATTTTCTTAAGCTCTGGGGCACCCAAGAAACAGATGCAGGTAGGTGATTCTTCCAGCTTGGAGTTGAGCAGTTGTGAACCACATGCCAGACTCTGCAGCTCCTCCACTGCAAAATGTATAACCTTGCTAAGGTGACTTGCCGCCAAATATTTGTTTTTAATAAGTGTCTGGAAAACGTCATGGATTCTTTCTAGAAGCTTAGCACGCTCAGGGTCATCAGATAAAGGCCAATTTTCATTTAGTAAACTTTCTTTACTGCTGAGGTCTCTATCACAGTCCATCCACTCGGCCCCTTCAAACTCCCTGCTGTTCTGGGCACTACTACCGAAATTATCAACCTGTTGTTTCTTCGTAGGTGATAATTCCCATTCATATTCATTGCAATAAGAGTCAAGAAAGCAATCTTTTGAATCGTCCATGCCGTTTCTGGATTCCTCAAGGAAATCAGATTCAAATGATTTCTGCTGTCTCCCAACCAACTTAATTGCTTCATTCAGGTCTAGAGGTCTCCAAGAACAGTTTAGAAGCATCTCAGCCCATTCACTCTCCACACTTTGGGGCAGAATGGACTGCATTTTGGGCAGCAAGCTGCCCATATGTTCCTGCACAACATGATGCATGAATGAAGTAGCATCAGCAAATTTCTCATTGCAACGACAGCACAACCAAAACTTCCACACTTTGTGCGTCTCCCCAAAAGATAAAGCCTCGCAAAGAACCCCACTCATAGACAATCCATCCTTCAATGAATTAAAATGACTTTTCAGATCCGATATACTAATTCTGAGCAAATCTTTCTTCGCGTCTGCACCTACAGAGTTCCAATACGACCGGACCCAATCCTTTCTCTCATCCGATGATGCGTTTTTCCTTGCATTCCCATACTTCCTTCTTTCTCCAGATCTCTGGCCCGACCCCGTGCCAGATTCTGGCCCTTTGGTATTATTATTAGCACTATCCTCATCATTTGCCAAATGGGGGGACTCCGATTTCTGCTGTAGAAGACGAGCAGCAGCCACCCTAACCTCAATTTCCTTCCTCCGCTCCTCCGGCGTCTTGGACACTTTCTTAATCTCGTTCGGCCTCCTCGTCTGAACTAACCTCAACTCCATCGGGTCCTCAGGGACTCTCCTGATGGGAATCAACCGGAACTTCTCGTCACCATTGCCCAGATTCTTCATCCAATTCGAGAGGGAGGCGATATTCGACTTCTGAATCAACGACCTGAGCTCACTCTGAACGTGGGCCACTCGAGCTTCGGCTGTTGAGATCTTCTGCTGATTCTCCTCCTGCAAACTCTCCTTGGCAGGGTCCACGGGGTTCTGGATCGTCAAAGCCCTCTCACACTCCTGCACCACCTCCTCATACTCCTTCCCCTCGTTGGCAGCTTCATACAAGAGATTGGCATAAAAGTGCGCAAACTCGATGGAATTTGGGGACAGGCTGACAGCCTTCCGGGCACTCTCCACAGCATTCCGCAAATGTCGCTGTTTCGCATTGGGGTCGTCGATTATGGAGGCCATCTTCACGCACACGGTGCCCTGGACACGGTGAATCAAAGCCAGGTGAGGCGAACTATCATGCTTCGAGCACAAATCCTTCATCAGTCTCAGGGCTTTTGTGTGGTTCCCCTTTCGCATAGCATTCAGCGCACGCTCGCATTCAGCCTTCACCACAGTATATGCAGAGGAAGAGCTTCCGTTGCTGTAGATGTAGCCCTCCGAATCTCCTGCATCCGATTTTGTGGGTTTTCTGGTGGAGGAAGGGTTTGGGGCTTGGTCAGGGTTTGAAGCGCCAGCGTCCGCGGCGGTGGCCGCATCCTCCGACACCGCCGCCGCAGCGGTTGGCGGATGCGACGGCTTGGAGCGAGGAGCGATGTTCCGCTTCTTGGGCCCCATATCAGATTTTCCCGATGTCTACTTAATTGCATGCATAAAAACTAAATTCATCCGACACGGCGCCTATTGGCCGTGTGTGCCACCACCGGCCGTGTCAATCTCGATAGAAAAGCCCCGGCTGAGAGAAACTTACTGAGCAATCCCGGGAGGAAACCGATCGGAGCTTGAGGCGGAAATACAGAAGCGTATATACAAAAAATTATACCAATATAAATGCGCCTGCGTGTGTGTATATGTGTAAGTATATATGGAGAGAGAGAGAGAGAGAGAGAGAGAGAGAGAGAGAGAGAGAGAGAGAGAGAGAGAGAGAGAGATCACCTAACCAGAGGGTTGGGGAAATGTGAGGAAAATTGTAGTGTAGTGTTTTGGAGTGTTTGGGAAGGGGAAAGGGGTTGAGGAGAGGAAGAGGAAAGGATTTTTGGATGTAAGAAAATAAAAACAAAATTCACAAAATAAAAATAAAATAATAAAAGAATGAGGGCTATTAAGGTGGGTAGGTGAGGTTATTTGGATCAAAATATGGGACTAATTTGGTAATTTTATACAAATTCTATAGTCTATCTAATTATTAGGCAAGAGCATATCGCGGAACTATCCCGTCGGGTTTGTACCGTTAGATCAACTATCTTTGACGATCATATGATAATCTAACGGTTACAAAACTGATAGATGATTTCGTGACGGGACCTTAGCCTTTACCAATAAAATGGTACACGATTTTTTAGAGTGTGATATTTTAGTAAAAAAAAAGTATGTAAATTTATGGAGAAATTATGATTGTCTATGTGCAAAACTGATGACTATAATTTCATTTTATAGTTTTTCATTTCCATAACAGGTGTATTAAACTCAAAAGCCAAATAAAAACTATATTAATCAAAACAAAGTAATTAGAGATTCGGACAACTTAACATCCAACCTATAAATATCTTACCTTAATTTTATAATAAACAAAGCAATAATGTGATAGATTTTTCCTTGTTCATTTGTTTTTTCCAATATTAGAACACTTTACGCGTAGAAGTAACTAATGCGAAGAATATTCTTAAAACAATTCTTGGGCCAGGATGGAATTATCGCTGCCAACGTTGTTGAAACGAAGAATCAGTAACGGGCCGTAATGTTGGGTTACAAGAAGACTGCGGCCCATCTTCTCCATCCATTTTCATTATGTGAGCCATATTCCATTATATGGGCTTTCATAGTGATGTGAATATATTTTATAAAACTAAATCAAGTCCGACGAGTCAATCATTCTGGCTCGTGTTTGACATGTTTGAATATTGTTCGTGTTTGTGTGTTTATATTTTAAGCCCGAATCTGTTTTNNNNAAAAAAAAAAAAAAAAAAAAATACATTAAAAGTTTGAGTTCGTTTGTGTTCGTATATTCTAGTAAACAGACATTTTAAAATTATCTTACTAACTCGAGATTTTTTCGTTCGTGGTTAAAAATAAAATTAAAATTATTTTTATTGTTTAGATTTTTATTGAAATTATCATACATATAAATATAAAAATATACATGTTCACAAACATTAGCGCATGTATGCAAATGAGCTTGTGATCGTTCGACTATGAAACAAGCATAATTTCAGTTTGAACTCGGCTCAATTATTTCACAAACAAGTTATTGTCGAATACGAACGAACTTCTTAATGCACTCGCTTACTATAAATGCAAATTGATGCGTTTATGTTGATACATAATACTTGTTTAATTTACTACTACTAACTCAAAAAAACATAAAAGTAAAAATGATATGTCTCGTGTTAAATTGATGAATCATTAGAGCGTAATATTTTTTTCCAAAAAAATATATATTTTTATTATGAAATGTCATATTCTAAAAAGCATCATAAACGGAAGTAAGACAAATTATGACATTTGATATATATGATAAATATATGTATTTTTATTCAAAGAATATAGAAGGTCGATCCACCTACCCATTAGACTATTTCAAACAAAACTTAGTAAATTAACAAACAAGGGTTGATCCTCAAATTATGGCGAGATAGATACATATAGAGTTAATTATATAGGTTTAATTTGTGTAGACTTTAATTAGCATATAAAATTAGTTTAAATATTTAGTAATTTATTTTATATTAGATTAGATTGAATATTTCAAAAACTCATGGACCTAATCAAACAAAATGTAAAGTAAAAAATCTATAACCAAACTATAAAATATATAAACTTTATATCATGCCTTATTTCATTGCTTTCAAGACTGCTTTATTTGTAAATATATATATTTTCCATTTAATAGGGTTATAACAAGTACAAAATAAAATATAATGTATAATATAGTATATAAAATATACTATATAATTTCATGCATTTGACAAATTATGCATAAATGTGTACAATCAATGTGTTCCAAATGTACCAAGCAACGGTTAGACACAAACTGATGTTAGTTAGTCAAACTTAACAGTTAGATAATGACATTTTTTTTAAATGTCATATTGTAGACAACAACATTAATAAAAATACAATATATTATAGAATAAATATTCATTTTTGTTAAAAATAATATAATGAGTCGATCCACTAATGATTAAACCATATCATACAAAGTTTATGTAACAATGGTTATATAAAGGTTTCCAATCACGAATTCACCAAATACAAAATACACTTTATATATAATTTTCCAATGTATTGAGTCTAAGCAAGGGCGGAAGGACATACAATTTGGCCTGGGCTATAGCCCGGGTAGGCTACACGTGTGCCTCTTACATACCCACATATTTTTTGTGTAAAATTTATCCTTTCTTGTATTTTGGCCTAGGTTAAGATAGTTAAAACTTTAAATATGTTTATAAATCTAGCCCAACTTGTAAGAATCGCTTCAAATTAATATGGGTTAATTGCAAAAAAAAACCCAACATTTTACTTAATTGCAAATACAACTCAACCTTTTAAATTTTGCAACAAAATACTAAACTTTTATTAAGTATTGCATAATTGTCTCGAAACTGAATTCTGGCGAAGGGGTGCTGACATGTCTGATCGGAAAATTGA